GAGGATGGCTCTGCTGAAAGGTCTACAAGAAAAAGTGTTGTCCTCCTGGGACACACAATTTCCTGTGAAGCAAGAAGTTGAAGTGAATGTAGAAGACAAAATGAAGATGATAAACCAAAACTTTCAGAAGATTTAGTTTAAGAACTTGGGAAGATGGTGGAAGAAGAGAGATGAGAAGTTACAGTTTTTAAGAAGGCAGCAGATTTGTACTTCTGATGATGATGATGATGAAGGTGGACCTAGGAAAAGAGGAGGGATAGGAATGGGATTTTAACTGATCCTTAAGGAGGTGAGTAATCCAAAACTAAAAACTAAGGATCACCATTTTCAGTGTGGCAGTACATAAAGCTAGGAACAATCTTCGGAGGTGGGTGAGTGGAGGGATGAAAGCTCTTTCCACGCTCAGATGGCTTCCTCATTCTGACCCCTCACCAGACCAGAGGAATGCTCTATTTCCTCTGTGTAGTCCATGCCTGTGGTTCCAATCAGCACTTGCTTAAAAGCCACATAGACTTCCTGGGTATCACATTAAGTGTGCTCTCTCCTACAACAGATGCAGACAAACATTTATGGGGTTTGGACTGATAAAAGGGCAAGGTGAGCCCCAGGGGAATGGGATAACAACAGCAATAGAATATTCAGAGCCAACCAGAAAAGTAATTGTGAAATCGGGAAAATTTGCCTTTAATATCACTATTTAGTCTCCTGAAAACTGCCCGTGACCTTTTATCCTGGCCACTAGCTACTAATCCTCTTGATGTTCCTCATCCTCCTCTCACTGAAATTTATACAGCTTTTAGCCATTTAAGGAGTACTCTAGCTTACCCAGCAGTTCTCAAATTATGCCTAGGTATAACTACAGACTCTAGATCTTTCTTTCTAAATTAAAGATTATTCTCCCCAAATTGCAATAATGATAGTAATGAAATAATCACGTCTATAGTTGTTATAGTTTGAATATGTGGTGTTCCTCAAAAGTGCATGCATGAAACAATGGGAGAAAAAGTTTAAGAGTGAAATAATTGGGTCATGAGAGCCTTAACTTAACCAATGCATTCATCCACGTGAATGGATTAACTGGGTGGTAACTATAGGCAGGTAGAATGTGGCTGGAGGAGGTAAGTCACTGAGGGATAAGACTTTGGGGGTCATATTTTGTCCCTGGTTAGTTAGAGCTCTCACACTCTCTCTGTCTCTCTCCCTCTCTCTTTCCTAATTGCCATGTCCTGAGCTGCCTTCTTCCTCCACACCCTGGGTTATAATGTTCTCCCTCACTTTGGGCCCAGAGCAATGAGGTTGGCCATCTATGGACTGAGTCCTCTGAAACCATAAGCCCCAAATAAACTTTTCTTCCCCTAAAACTGTTCCCATCAGTTCTTCTGGTCACATTGGGAAAAAAAGAAAAGAAAAGAAAAGAAAAGAAAAGAAAAGAAATACTAAAACAATAGTATTGTCCATTTAAAGTCATTTACCATATATTTTTCTTAAAATATGATGTCCCTCTTCTGTGTGTCTATATCAGAATGAGAGTATCATGACATGGCCTCCAATGTGGCCTGAAATCAGATGCTCAATTATTGGAAGGTTAGTACAGACATGCTTCCTGTATTACACAAAAAAAGCACTATGACTTTTAGATGTTTGTGTCCAGAACAAGTTTGAGAACTATCAGAAACTAACCCCTGACTATGGACATGGATAAGAGTCTTCCACAGCACTCAGGAATTTCTTAAGTACAAAGACTTCCTCTTGATTAAATGAGAATTTATTGTCAATTAGCACATTAAGAAAGATAATTAGGGGATCTTTTGGTATTTGTATCAATTAGCTTTTTGTTACCGTGACCAAAACACCTAATAAGAGTGACTTACAGGAGTATTAGTGTATATTGATGCTCCCTGTTACAGAGTTCCCAGTCCATGATGAGTGGGCTTTATTTCTTTGGGCCTGAATCGAGGAAGAATATCATAGTGGAAGGGCACGGTAGAGAAAGGTTGTTTGGCTTATGGCATCCAGAAAGCAGAGAATAAGGAATGGGCTGGAAAGAAGATAAACCATTCTAGGATATTTCCCCAGTGACTTTCTTCCTCCAACAAGGTCACACCTCCCAGTGGTCCAATCAGCCATCATTAGATTAATCCACTAATGAAGTCAGAGCTCACATGATCCAATCATAGCATAAAAGCTCCACCTCTGAATCTTGCTGCACTAGGGGGCCTGCTTTCAACACAAGACTTTGGAAGACATTCCAGGTCCAAACCATACTAGAATTTTAACTCCATATCTGAAATTGCTAGTTACTTCCACCAACACAGCAACGGAAAAGAAATATTGGTTTCAGATACAGGTATTTCCAAGCTGTGATACTCTGAACAATTTCTTTGGCATCTCTGAACATCAGTGTCCTTATTAGAATAAGAAAAATAAAACTCACTGTTTCTAAGGATTTGAAATAAATTGTTCTAAGGATTTTATTAAATGATATAGTGACACCAAGTCCACCGAACCAGTAGTGCGCTATCATATAACAAGCTAGAATTCTGATACAGGAACCACAGAGGGAATCAACACTTCAACAGTGGTCAACAGACCAACATGTAGAAAGACAGTTTTCATTCCCTTCCAAGGGAGGCTATACGCAGAATCAAAAGCTTCATTTCTGCAGTTCCCTGAAAGCATAGGTTATCACAGAGCATCAGGCTAACAAATCAGTTTAAGAAAATGATAGAGGGAGTATGGTCCTTTCACAGAGCAGCACAGACAAGCCTAAATACAAACACTTCTTAGCTGATTTGAATCTTTTCAGGATTACTATGAAAATAACAAACCCACAAAGTTATTCTTCTTCTTCTGCCCCTAAAACGTGCTTCCTCCAAACAGATATTCTACCATTGTCTGGCTTGCAGAAAATGTCACTGTTCTTTACTTAATCTTACCACGAAAAATCTTGACTTTCTTAAAAGCTGACTTTCAATGTGCACTGTTACTGGTGAGGCAGTCAGAATATTCCTATGAAATCACCTGGGAATGTTTCAGTAGGTTTTGCTGCCCAACAGTAAAACTTGCTGCTGCATATCAGGTGGGAATATCGGCCAATTATGGTCCTAAAATTAACTGCCTGCTGCTTCCTCTCCATTTCTTAAGTAAACTTCCTTTCCAGTTTATTTTCCATAATGTAATGGTTTTAGGCCACCACAAGCTGGGCTCTTTCAGACAACATTTATTGGAAAAGGTGCCATTGAACTCTGCAAATGGAAAAAAAAAAGAGAGATCAGCTATTAATCTGGGTCCACATAGGAAAGAAATGGGCTATTTTTGCTTCTAAAAGCTTTAAGAAAAAAATAACCTCACTCCTTGAAGCTGCTCTGCAGCTTTATAGGCAAGCTGGGTGGCACAGGTAAAGACAACTGAAGGTGAGCTCATCCCGCCGGTAGCTGTAAGGACAGAAAGGAGTTCACAGATTTCCTGAGCACTGTCTCCAAGCTGCCTTTCATCCTCAGGGTCTCTGCAGCCAAAGATGGGGAAGGGTTTCGTCATCGTCATAGGGATTTGGGCAAAAATAAGCGTTGCAGTATATTCCTGCATGACTTCTGCTAAGCAGGCCTGAAGCTTCATAAAAATATACAGAATGTAAAACTGGCTATTTGGCAGCCCCAATACCTAGAAATATTCATTTGTTTGCGCTTCCAGATATGGTGACAAATTTACAGCTTTTCACGCACAGTTAGAAAACAATAAAGTAAGGATGGTCTCCTTGGGCAAGTTCGGCTATAGCAGAATCCCCCAGTAAGAGGAATGAACCAGGGTGGCTATGAGAATCAGAAGCTCAGGGGACAGGATTTTGTGAAAGAGGGCCCCAGACTACATAGGGCTTCTGTTGGTAGAAAACAAAGGAGCTGCCTCTTGAGACTCCCAATTCTACAGCAACTTCACCACATTCTCTTCTTTTATTTCATTTTATTTTTTAGTGTATTAAACTGTGGCAGCCATATTACCTTTTTATATGCACTCTGTGACACTCCAGAAAGAAGTCAAGGCAGTTAAGGAATGTACATTTCTTAAATCTATAAATAAACAATGTGTATGTGTGTTTCACTGGGGATTAAACCTAGGTCCTTATACCTTAGGCAAGCATTCTACCACTGAGCTAGATCCCAGCATGGCACCCTAGCCCACGACTTTTTATTTATTTATTTTTTTTTAAATAGTGTCTTGATAAGTTGTTGAGGGTGGTCACCTCCCTCAGTCTCCCTATAGCTGGGATTACACGTGTGTAGTCACCACACCTGGCTAAAACATATTTTAATAAATAAATACTTTATGATATTGTTACCCAAACTGGTACATGAGAAGATTTTTAACTAACATATAAATTAACTTCTTGTAAAACTTTAATTGTATTCTATGCACATGTTTAAAAGTACAACTTGCATCTAGAACCTATGACTTCACAGATATTAGGTGTTAGTCTTCAGCAAGTTTAAATTTATGTAGGATTCCCAAATGGGTTTGTTCACAGATAGAGTTAAATAATTAGCACTATAAACATTAAAGATAAATGTCAAGAATGTGAAGTTGGTCCATATGTGGTAGACAGGGGAACTGTTTAATTAAGAATTGACACCATGAGGAGATTTGCATGTTCCTATTGAAGCCAGAGAGTCCTGGCCTATGAATTAGGCTCCTTGGGTTTTTGCACAAAGATTACCATGAGCTATTTCTACACATAGGTAAGCCACTGTTCCTCCGATGTGTAGGGGCTGTGAATGATGCCCCCCCTTGTCTGGTAATCCACTGGAAAAAGGTCATCCACCCAGTCACCAACTTCCCGTCTCCACCCATATGCCACCACACTCAGGTCTCCCAGAAAAAAAAATGCAGACCAGCCTCAAAAATTTAAACACCTCTTTACCAAAGGAGTTCCCTGTGAAGTTGACACAGCTTTACAGAATGTGTTTGGGGCAGAGCAGGAGAGTAGGAGAAAGAGCTCTGATCAGAAATCATGCCCCTCGTCCAACCACCTTGTGCGGTTATCCTGCGTGAGGAATCGGCATGCCAAGCGCGGGCTCCCATACTCTTCCTCCATCAACCTGTCCTTCCCAGTGTTCCCTGCTCACATTCTCCCACCCTGCACCCACACACCTTGCCTTCCAACAGAATTCTGCCAACAGAGAAAGCCTACTTCAAGGTACCGCTTCCTATTCTGTATGTAATTGGGGGAGGGGGGGTAGGATTTGCTGCCATGGAAAGAATTCTGAGATACCAACCCACACTAAACACTGGGGAGGAATTTTCAGATTCCAACCCACACTGTAACATTTACTAAAATGTGTTATGTTACAAATTTGTTATGAGAATCTATCAATCCAAGAAAAAGGCGAGTGAGGGGAAATCATCATGGCCTCTCAAAAGAAGATTCTCCTGGGTCTTCATAAAGGGTCGCCTTCATGTGCCAGGCATCAGCAACATCCCCACCAAGAACGCCAGGTGGCTTTCCTTTGGCCACTCCCTGTAGCATTCATCTGTGCACGCTGAGTAATGCTCATGTCCTCTACTGCAATTTCAGTTCATATTCTTGTCCCTGCCATCTAGAGTTCATTTCTTGGGGGGCGGGTTATATGCTACATGTTCCGATCTCTGATACCAAACCTGATGCCAGACTTCTGAAGTATTTGCTAATAAGTTAATAAATAAGTAATAACAAGTATAGAAAGGTTTGTTTTGAACAACTAATAAAAAAAGAGAAAGGTTTAAAGGTAAATAAACTGAAGTGCTATATTGAAATAGAAAATAGACAGTTCTTTTTATTATTTTTATATTTTTAAGTTTTTAAGCCAACAACTCTATAATTTACTCCTAGAAATCTTCTGTGGGGAAGGAAACAGAGGACAAGTGGATGTTACCCACAGCACCCTGATGTCTCTCCTTATCGATTAAGGTTGGTACATGTTTGCTTCGCTTTCCCCTGCATTTCCCCTCATACAAGCTCAGCTTCTGAGGTTTCTATATAGCTATATTTATTCCTGCTCCTCGTTTTGGATACAATATGGGCAGAGGAGCCTATAGGGAAAAAAGAAAAAGAAATGAATCCATGAGGCAGAGCGACCTAGATTACTTTTTACCTAGATTACGTTTTGGGGTCCCTTGGGCTTATGCTAAATCTAGGCCACTTGGTTTGAGTGACAAGCAGAACAATGAATGATACTAAATTGTCTTTAATTTGTGGTGTATGTCATAATAAATTACTCTTTTTTTTTTTTAAAAAGGAGGCTATGGAGAAGTAGGGCTTAGAATATGGTCTGCTTAGTGACATGTGCTAAAAATAAAAGGAAGGCAGGATGTTTAGAATAAATGGGCATAGCTTAAAGAAGGCTTTTTGTGGACAAAAATATCAAAATGGTAGACTCTCCATTTTTCCCCTCCACCATATATATATATATGTGTGTGTGTGTGTGTGTGTGTGTGTGTATAAAGGCAATTTCTTATGTAAATGGTTTGCATTCATCTTTAAGAGCTATCCTAAAACAAGACCACAGATTGAGTGGCTTAAACAACAGAAATCTATCTTCTCACTTTTCTGGACCCTGGATGTCCAAGATCACCATACCAACAGGCTGTTCTCTCCTGAGGCCTCTTTCACTTGCAGAAGGCCACCTCCTCAGCAAGTGTTTATATGTTCTTTCCTGTATGTGTGCATACTTCTAATATCTCTTTGTGTATCCAAATCTCCTCTTCCTAGGAGGACACCAGCCAGAATGGAATAGAGCCCACTCTAATGTCCTCATTTTCAATCAGACTAAAATTGGGTAGGGGTGCTAATATTAAGATCAACTTCTTTATGCTAAAAGTAGGAGCTGAGGGGCTGCCCCCTATGGCCTAACAGATGCCATGGAAGCTGGGAGTAGAGATTGCCCCCTGCCTCAGCCTGTCTCCTCCAGGCTAACTAAATCTGCATGTGTACGCGTCCTACCTTTTGTATCACTTTGCTCCCTCCTCTTTAAAAGCTTTGCCCACCCTCCAAGATTTCAAAGATGGAATTTTTGAAACAATAAGTTTCTTCCACCTTCTTCAAAGCTGGTTTTGAATAAAACCTATTTTCCTACCAATTTAACTATTTCTGGAGCAGCGAGGGGTGTGGCCTACTCTTTCCCCACTCCCTCCCCACAGCCACATCTCCACGCCCCCAGCATTAGTGCTACCCAGTAAGAATTTTAACTTAATCACCTTTTTAAAGGCCCTATTCCAAACACAATCACATTCTGAGGTATGGGGAGGTTAGGGCTTCCATATCCATATTTGGCGAGACATAATTAACCCATAATATGATTGCTGACTATATTCTTCAAATTTAAGGCCACAGAGCCATCTTAATCAGTAATTGGCTTGATTTGTCACTGCAGAGTTACTTACATTGGAGAGAAGGGAAGAACTAAGCATAATAATGAGAAAATTAAGAATTGTTCCCCAAGGAAACCAGATAAATCGCAGGCTAAGGATCAAGAGTTTGGGTTGTATAAAAATGAGAAAGAAAGAAAGAAAAAAAAAAGCATGTCTCAAGTTCAAACTAAACCTGGGACAACAAACTCAAGTGCTTTATGGGCCATGCAGATATCATCAATGAAGGCTGCAGTTCTATATAAAAGAAAGGGCAAATAGAGGATCCAGATGGTAGTAAACTGGAGAGTGTATGACCTAAAGGCAATCACACACAATTTTCCCAAGCACACCAGCCAATTTGTGTCCCCTGAACTAGACACTGATGAACCTCTTTGCTACACACTCAAAACATGTCCTTCCAGTACGTCCTGTGACATTACCTCCTTTCTCTCCTTGTTTTTCTCCAAACCTCCAAAAACAGTTCTTTGGTTTGTTGGCAGCCCAAGGCTTCAAGCTGCTGACCTACCGTTGGAAAATTACAGCTGCCAACTCTCCTGGTCCTAGTCAGTGCCGGTCACGAAGGCAATTACTCTCTAACAAGCATGTTCTTGCCTCATTTTCATTCTCTTTGGGCTTATGGACAGCAGCAAGCTTGGGGCCTGAAAGAAACTCCTGGAGCTGAAACTAGAGCATATGCAAACCTGCAGGGTCTATAAAGCACCAAATCCAAGTCAGACAAACAACAGAATCAAGGTCTCATGAATGCCGCAAGGGAGCATAAGGTGGCACATCCGTTATCTAAACCAGTGGTTCCTAACAGAGGGTAGTAAGTAGATGACAGTATAGTTTAGATTTATTTAGAGACCCTTTTCAAAGTACACATTTTTACTACTCGCTAACTCTACTAAATTTTAATCACAGGCATAGGATTAGAGCGCCAGTTTGGAAGTCCCTTCAAACCTTGTGTCAAAACTTAATCCCCAAATTTATATATTCATGGTATTTGGAGGAGAGGTCTTTGGGAATTAATTGGGATTAGATTAACTCATCAGGGTGTCTCCCTCATGGTGGGACTGATGGGCATATGAGGAAGAGAGACCTGAGGTGACACACTCTGTCTCACCACACGTGATGTCCTTCAGTATATTTTGAAACAGCAAGAACATCCTCAGCAGATGTCAGCACCTTGATATTGGACTTGCTAGCACCAAGAACTGAGAAATAAATTTCTTTTCCTTATAAATTACCCACTCTGTGGTATTAAGGGATAGCAATAGAGTAAGACAGCAGCCAACAGAGTCTTAGGGAATAAAGGAATCAAGACAAGGTATAGAGAAAACTATATTGTTTGGTCATAGCTACTCTAATAATCCTTTTAGCCTGGCAGTAATAAGAAATAAAACTTAGCTCCCTTTCCTTGTGTTTCCTTTCTAAGAGAAAACCTGTTAGTGTAACTTCTGATCTACCCACTCTTTTAATCATTACACCTCAAGAGACTTGAAAAGATTCATCTTATTGGTTAATTTTGGAAACAGAAGGTGCTATCTTAATCCGTTTCAGTTGCTATAACAAAATACCATGGATTGTGAAGTTTTTACAACAAACATCTCTCTCACAGTTCTGGAGGCTAGGAAGTCCAAGATCGAAGTGTAAGAAGATTGACTCTCTGGTGAGGGTCTTGTTCAAGAGTCATAGACTCACTTTTCATTAGGTTTTCACATGGCAGAAAGAAGGCAAGAGAGCTCCCTCTGAGGTCCCTTTATTAAGGGCACCAATCCCATTTAAGTGGGTCACACCCTTTTGATCTAATCACCCACAAAGGCCCTGCCTCCTAAACCCACTATATGGAAGGTTAAAATTTTAACATGTGAATTTGTGGAGGGATAAGAACAGTCAGTCCATTTCACTGGCATGCTGAATTCAGCTCTGACCCGCTTCCTTTTTAGGAAACAGCTTGCCCAGAGACAGCATAGGTTACTCTGCTGGCCAGTCCTACCCAATAGTGCAAATAGAGGTGGTATGTCTGTCTTGGTCCAACATTGCATTGTGTCTGTTTGAATAAACCTAACTCTGGGTTTCAATATTAGTAAGGTTGCCTGAATAACAGATTTAAAGCCATACCCCCTAAACCAGTGTCAATATTGACAGTTATATTTTGTCCTCTGTCATTCTTTTATTTATCATTTTGTTCAGAGCCTAAGGATACAAAACAACCCATTTAGTGAAACCAAATCTGGAGACTTTTGTTGTAACAATAATAAAATATGAAAATACCCTCTGGAGCTGGGCACGGTGGCACATGCCTGTAAATCCCAGCAGCTCTGGAGGCTGACACAGGAGCATCGCGAGTTCAAAACTAACCTCAGCAAAAGCAAAGTGCTAAGCAACTCAATGAGACCCCTTTAAATAAAATGCAAAGAAAACAGGGCTAGGGATGTAGCTCAGTGGTCGAGTACCCCCGAGTTCAATCCCCAGTACTCTCTAAAAAAGAAAGAATATGTTCTGTGGAGAATGAGAGTATGAGTAGATTTATGGCTCTTCCATAAAAGACAATTTCCCTGATACCAGTATGAGTAAATATGAGGACAAATGCACGCATATACCCATGCACATCTACATGCATACAGATAATAGCATCTCCTCTATCAAAGCAGAGCCTATAATATTTTAAGACACCAACTAGTTTTTTTGTATACTAAACTCATCACAATGCAATGATTTAATTCTATATCATCTACCTGCATAGCAAATCTCTTTAAAATTCATTTCAAATTACAAAACAAACTCATTTGAAAACTCATCTTCTAAGATCAAATTATACATCAAACTTAAAGGTTTTTCCTCATTGCTTTAAAAAGTATGTTGAATCTTTCTAAAGTCCATCAAATATTTTCAAAGTTGATACAAAACACACTAATGCAAAGTGAAACATATTTCAATATGTCTAAAATAATGTAAATTTGTAAGAAAACTGGCTGAAACAGTAACCTACTTGGCTAAATCAGCAGGTGAGATATATACTATCATTTACCAAAGGGCAGAAATTCACTTATGTCTGGTTTCAAAAAAAAATGTGAAAGAAAAATAACCTCACAATTAGGGGTAATCAATGGAGTTATTGCCAGTGAAGGTGAGATGACTCAAAGGCAAGTCTACATAGGCTTGTTTTGGATGGTGAAGTCCCTCAAAAGAATGAGGACACATTTTTTTTAAAAGTAAAATCAAAAAGACATCTTGGAAAATATAAGATTCTGGGTTGAAGAATCTTAACATCAAGAATTAAGGACAAAGAAAAAAGTTATAGGTTTCCTCACAAACTCAGAGCATAACTCTTGCAAAGCACTGCACCAAAGTTAAGTAGCAGCTCATAGGAAAAGGGATGTGTGGATGCTCAGAGATGGCCACTCTGAGGTATAAGTGTCCCCATAATCAATCCTTCCACTGAAAGATACAGTAGACCCCAGACTGGGAGCTTCCATTATGTAAATTAATGGATTTCTATTTTTCTAGAACTGAATGTCTCCCAGTTCTTAAATTACATAAGCCAGGAGAATCTAAGTT